ACGCACCGCACACACACACACACACACACACACACACGCACACACACAGACACACACACACACACACCACCACCGCCACCACCACCACCGCCATCACGCACGTACGCACCTGGCCCACCACCAAAACACCAAGACGCCACACCACGTCACACCACAGCACACGCGCACACACGCACACACACACACACCACCACCACCACCACCACCACCACCACCACCACCACCACCACCACCACCACAACCACAACCACAACCACAACCATAACCATAACCATAACCACAACCACGCACACACACGCACGCACGCACGCGCACCACCACCCACTACGCACGCGCGCGCGGAGCCACAGGTCCGCTACGACACGCGTCCGCGGATAGAGAAAATCAGCGCCATGGTAAGGTATGGGAGGGAGGGGTAGGACGTCAGATATGACGCGAGCGCACCTAGCTTGTCCTCCTCCCCCTCCCCCTCCTCCTCCTCCTCTTCCTCCTCATCCTCATCCTCATCCGCATCCTTTCCTCCTCCTCCTCCTCCTCCTCCTCCTCCTCCTCCTCCTCACTCACTCCATCACATCATCATCATCATCATCATCATCATCATCATCATCAGCATCCCATCCTCATCTCCTCCCTCCTCCTCCTCCTCCTCCTCCTCCCTCCTCCTCCTCCTCCTCCTCCTCCTCTCTCCTCCTCCTCCTCCGCCCCCTCCTCCTCCTCCTCTCTCCTCCTCCTCCTCCTCCTCCTCCTCCTCCACCTCCTCCTCCTCCTCCTCCTCCTCCTCCTCCTCCTCCTGCTCCTCCTCCTCCTCCTCCTCCTCCCTCCTCCCTCCCTCCTCCTCCTCCTCCTCCTCCTCCTCCCCCCCCTTCCCTTCCATTTGGTATTTTGGATCGCGCTGCGCCTAGCTGGGTCGGCCCGCCGCCCCGCGGCGTCGCCGATGCCGCCGACGACGGTCGCCCGCGCTGCCGCGCCCCTGGAAGCCGCACGTTGCGCGGCCCCGGCGGCGCATGCAGCTGCAGGGTTAGCCAGCAGCGCCGAGCTCCGCGAGGTGGCTCGGCTCGCGCGCGTTGCCGAAGGGCTTCTCAGGACGGCGGTTACCAAGCCGGCCAGTCCCACCCCTCCCGCGCAAGCCGCGGCGCCTTCGCCGCAGGCCGCCGCTGGGCGGCGGCGTCGGCCTCGCGGCCGCGGTGGCTCGGCGCGCATGGCGGTGGACGGAGAGCAGGCCGTCGCAATTGGTGGACCCGATAACGGCGGGGATGCGGGGATTGGAGTTGCGAGGGCTATTGCAGGCACCCCGCCGATGCTGGAAGATGATAGCTGGGCCGAACTGCCGATCGTGCGCGGCGGCAGCCCGCCCACCAACACAGCCTCAGGCAAAGGCAAGGACAAGTACACGGGCAAGGGCGGCATCGCCGTCAGCCTGGCCGCGAGCGCGGGGCTGCCCAACATGGCGTTCGAGCAGGCGGCGCTGCTTGCGGCAGCAGCGGCCGCGCCACCCCCTACTCGTGAGTCGTTTGGAGCAGGGTTCGGCGGCGAGGGGGGGAGTGCCGAAACCCTGTGCGGCGCTCATGCCGGTGACCATGTGCGCTGGCCCGACGGACGCGGGGCGTGGCAGTTCGGCTTGCTGCACGGCGACCCCGAGCCCGAGGGCGGCATGGCCCTCGTCCTGTGCGGCAGGGGGCGCAAGACGACCGTGGCCCAGGTCGCCCTCGACGACATGAAGCTCGCGAGGCCGTTCGGCCAGGTCGCGCCCCTCCCCTGAGGAGGGGGTTGGGCGGGCGCGCCGCCCATCCGCTGCGGGCGTCGTCCTCGGTGCCGTTGTAGCATTCTTCTTGTTATTATCAGTCTATTATTAGTAGAAGCATTATTTGTCTTAGTATTAGTATGAGTATTAAGGTTATGCTCGTCATGATTAGTGTTATTATTATCCTTTGTTTGTGTATTATGTTTCTCCTTCTTATTCTTAGTATCATTATCCTTCTCCTTCCTCATAGGCCAAGTGTCGTGGGACCCTGTCGACGCCGATCTCGGTCATGGGCCACGCCGGCCGTCACCGATCCACGAAGACGAGTCACGAATTGGCAACGCCCAGGATAGGCGCCGGCCAAAGTTGGCACCGACTAGTCTGCGTTCAGGCTCGGTCATGGTAATTGTTGCATTTCTCTTCATGGCTCCTGAACACCAGCATTGCTTACTGGAGCCTCGTCGCAGAGCCGCTCGAAAAAAAAAATGCGGACAAAAATAACCGGTTTGAAATCAGCACGAATTTCAGGGATCGTCGTTGGGCCCCTGTGGCGGCGATTCCAGCGTTTCCAGAGGCGCGCTCCGCGCGTTGAGAGGGGGGCCCAGCGCCCATCCGAGGAATCCGCGTAGGCCTCCGATCAGTCATGTTTGCGCAGGCCTCTGGCTGTAACACAGGTCGAAGAGCGGCCCAACAGAACAGCTCATTGGGCCGTCCACCGCTCCCGTCGCGGATGCTGGCGCGCGGCCAGCACACCAGAAATCCCCCCGCGCCCGCTCAAGGTTGGTGCCTCCGAGGGCGCACGGCCCAGCGACGGATCTTTTTCGCCATCATTTTGAATCGCATGGCGCTCTCGAGCCCGTGCGTTTTTCAATACGCGCGTCAAGGTTTCGCCCCCATTGGGGTTCGTCGTGGTTCGCATGAAAATAACAACGCCATGCGAACACAGCAAGTGCATGAGTGACACAACACTGCGCACAATGCTATGGCAACCATGAGTACATGCATGCGGCGACCGCTTCAAGCGACGAGCGACGCATCTTGCCAACTGGCGAATCACATGCAAGCGCTGTGGAAGTAGATATTTGCCCTTCCCGAAGAACAACCATAAGCTTAAGCCGGGCCTGTCCTTGCACAGGAGTAATATTCAATATAATAATGCAAAAATCGCCTGGGGGCCTCTTTTTGTTTTATTTCCCAACCATCCTGTTGTGTCCGGTCCTCGTTTTGAAAACAGCGCCCGCGTCCATCCTTCCTTCTCTTCCCGCTGCCTCCCCTCCTCCCCCTCCTTGCCTCTGCCCTCCGCATGTTTCTCTTTCGGCACACCCCTCACACGCTTCGTGGCCCCATGGGGAGCCAACTACGGTCCCAGTGGCGGAACTCGCATGGCCGCCGCGGGCCATTTCGGCACACCCCTCACACGCTTCGTGGCCCCATAAGCACCACCTAAGGTCCCAGTGGCGGAAGTCGCATGCGGTACCCACACCCACTTTGGCATACCCTTCACACGCCTCGTGGCCCCATAGGGAGCTCCACCTAAGGTCCCAGTGGCGGAAGTCGCATGAGGTACCCACACCCAGTTTGGCACACCCCTCACACGCTTCGTGGCCCCATAGTCCACGTACGGTCCCAGCGGCGGAACTCGCATGCGGTACCCACACCAAGTTTGGCACACCCCTCACACGCCCCGTGGCCCCATAGGGAGCTCCACCTAAGGTCCCAGCGGCGGAAGTCGCATGCGGTACCCACACCCACTTTGGCACACACCCCACACGGTTCGTGGCCCCATAGGGAGCTCCACCGAAGGCCGTAGTGGGGGTGCCAGGACCCAACACCACGAGCCATGAAGGGCACCAATGGCAGCTTCCTTCCCCCATGGCTCTCAGAGCCGTCTCCAACTTCTGCTCCTCGGTCAGGGGGTCGCCGTCGTCGTCGGCGCCCGCGAAGACGGCCGCGAACATGTCCCTGAGCATGTCGGGTTCCGGCGGGAAGCCGTGGCCACATAGGGAGCGTGGGCGAAGATGGTATTCACAATTGCGGTATTTAAAAATTGCGCATGGTTGGGTCTTTCGCTAAGCTAATTGTCAGCACTTGGAGTGTATTTTTGAATATTTGAAATTTGTCGCCCAAAATCCGCCTCTAGGGGGACACGCCCGACCTAACCATACGCATTCGTGTGCGGAGGTCCGCCCGAATCCCTTGTTTCCCCGTTGAGCCTCCTGGCGGCACCTCTGGCGCCGACCTTGGCGCGCGCCAGGCGAGGGGCGCCCAGTTCCTATCCAAAACATTCGGCGCGGAAATCCAGAAGTTTGCGTCTGCGCAGCTTTTTCGCGTTTCATCTTCGTCGCACGCGCCCCAGCTCTGATCTAAGAGAACGGGCGGATAGGGGAAGCGGGGGGGGTATTGAATTTGGCTCGTGCGTATGATGTCGGCCCCGCCGCCAGGCGCCTTCCTCAACACGGTAGCGCCTCCCGGCGCCGGGGAGAGCCAGGAAAGTCGGGCGTTGCTAGATTGAGGGGTATGGAGGGGGAGGACAGGTTCCGCCTCCTGTTCCTCCTCCTGCTCCCCCTCCTCCCCCTCTTCCTCCTGTTTCTCCTCCTCCTCCTACTCCTACTCTTACTCCTCCTCCCCCTCCGCCTCCTCCTCAATTCAGCAATCCCAAGCATCCCAATGAAGCCAAATTGTTTCTGGGATGAGCACCCCAGACATTTCAGACATCCCAAAGAAATCTCAAGGTCTGGGCTTCCCTGACGTCTCGAACCTTGTGAATTCATTGGTGGGGTTGGCACTCGGGGCCATCTGTGAGCTCAGGTATTTTTTGTTGTCGGGGGGTGGAAAGTCTCACCAGTCACAAGCATCCGGGTGAACTCATATGGCTTGTCGAACTCGCACCGTAGAAATCCCAGGCATCCCAATGGAATCACACAGTTCGAGCTTTCTTGACGTCGCGAACCTTGTGCTTTCATTGGGGTGCTTGGTTTCGGAGCCCTGGGGGGGCTCCATGGCGAATTGTTGTCGGAAGGTGGAGAGCCCCAGTGATCCCAAGCACCCCAATCGAATACCTTGTTCGCAAGTCGGCCCCAACCAAGAGAGCTCCAGATTCCCGACGGGGCCCCAGAGAACGCCCAGAAGGTTTATGGGGTTCTTCCAGGGCCCTTTGGATTTTGAGTGTTGTGGCAAGTGAGAGACATATCCTTGAAGTCGGTGGTGGAGTGTCTCAGTGGAGCCGCTTGGCAAAAGTAAGTGTTATCCATCCGCCCAGGTGGCGAGCACGTGGCGCACGAGGCGGATGCAGAACCACGTTGATGAGCTCAGGAGTGACGGGAAGGGATCCCGATCTAAGTCATTCCTCGTTATCTCCACGATCCGTGTTAGACACATGTTCCGAGTGGTGGAGAAGGTGATGGATTCCCGTCGTGTGTATCGTTGGTTGTTCTGCCAGCCGTTCTTTTTCATGAGTTTATCACACCGACCATGTGAGATCGACAATCACGATTGGTTGGCGTACGATGCCAAAATAAACAACCAATGCTACCTCTACGATTCCGTTGTAAATGAGAGTGTGTGTGTGTGTGAGAGTGAGTGAGTGAGTGTGTTTGTGAGTGGGTGAGACTGTGTGTGAGTGTGTGTGTGTGCGTGTGTGTGAGTGGGTGAGTGTGTGTGTGTGTGTGAATGAGTGAGTATGCGTGTGTGGGTGAGTGAGTGTGTGTGTGAGTGAGTGTGCGTGTGCGTGTGTGTCTGTGTGTGAGTGGGTGATCGTGCGTGTGTATGCGTGTGAGTGAGTGAGTGTGTGTGTGAGTGAGTGAGTCAGTGAGTGTGTGTGTGAGTGGGTGAGTGTGTGTGTGGGTGAGTGTGTGTGAGTGAGTGAGTGAGTCGGTGAATGTGTGTGTGTGTGAGTGAGTGTGTGAGTGAGTGATTGAGTGTGTGTGTGCGTGTGTGTGGGTGAGTGAGTGAGTGAGTGTGTGTGTGTGTGTCAGTGAGTGTGTGTGTGTGTGTGTGTTTGAGTGAGTGGGTGTGTGTGAGTGAGTGTTTGATTGTGTGTGTGAGTTAGTGGGTGTGTTTGTGCGTGTGTGTGTGTGTCAGTGTGTGTGCGTGTGCGTGTGCGTGTGTGTGTGTGGTGTTTGTGGTGTGTGTGGGGTGTGTGGGGTGTGTGGTGTGTGGTGTGTGTGTGTGAATGAGTGAATGTGTGAATGTGTTTGTGTGTTTGTGTGTTTGTGGTTTGTGTGTTGTGGTTTGTGGTTTGCGTGCCTTGTGTGTGTGTCGTGTGTGTCGCGTGTGTCGTGTGTGTCGTGTGTGCGTTGTGTGTGTGTGTTGTGAGTGTGCTGTGTGTGTTGCGTGTTGTGTGTTATGTGTGTGTTGTGTGTGTTGTGTGTGTTGTGTGCGTGGTGCGCGTGGTGTGTGTGTGTTGTGTGGTGTGTGTTGTGTGAGTGCTGTGCGAGTGTTGTGTGAGTGTTGTGTGAGTGGTGTGTGAGTGTTGTGTGTTGTGCGTGTTGTGTGCTGTGTGTTGTGTGTTATGTGTGCTGTGTGTTGTGTGTTGTGGGTGGTGTGTGTTGAGTGTGTTGTGTGTGGTGTGTGTGTTGTGTGTGTTGTGTGTGTTGTGTGTTCTGTGTGTTGTGTGTGTTGTGTGTTGTGTGTGTGTTGTGTGTGGTGTGTGTGTGGTGTGTGTGGTGTGTGTGTGTGTTGTGTGTGTGCGGGTGTGTGTTGTGTGTGGTGTGTGTGGTGTGGTGTGTATGTTGTGTGTGTTGTGTGTTGTGTATGGTGTGTGTGTTGTGTGTTGTGTGTGGTGTGTGCGTGTGCGTGTGTTGTGTGTGCTGCGTGTGTTGCGTGTGTTGCGTGTGTTGCGTGTGGTGTGTGTTGTGTGTTGTGTGTGTTGTGTGTGTTGTGTGTGTTGTGTGTTGTGTGTGTGGTGTGTGTGTGTTGGTGTGTGTGTGGTGTGTGTGTGTGGTGTGTGTGTGTTGTGCCTGGTGTGTGTGTGTGTTTTGTTTGTTGTGTGTGGTGTGTGTGGTGTGTGTTGTGTGTGCTGTGGTGTGTGTTGTGGTGTGTGTGTGTGTTGTGGTGTGGGTTGTGGTGTCTGTTGGTGTGTGTGTGTGTTGGTGTGTGTGTTGGTGTGTGTGTTGGTGTGTGTGTGTTGGTGTGTGTGTGTGTTGGTGTGTGTGTGTGTTGGTGTGTGTGTGTGTGTTGGTGTGTGTGTGTGTGTGTTGGTGTGTGTGTGTTGGTGTGTGTGTGTTGGTGTGTGATGGTGTGTGTGTGTGTTGGTGTGTGTGTGTGTTGGTGTGTGTGGGTGTTTTGGTGCTTTGGTGCATCGGCATCCTGGGGCGTCCACACCTCGCCAGGCCCGTGCGCTGGGCCCTCGAGCGACCGTCCGTCGCCTGCCGAGCCTCCGAGGGAGCCGAGCCGCGGGCAGCGCACCCGCCGACTCCCCAGGGTGCAGAGCGCGCTGGCCCCCTCGAGGCCGCGCCCCACCCTAGGCCCCTCAGCCTGGTGCCAAGGGGGGCTGAAAAGCGAGAGCACGCGCCGCGCCCAGGCCCCGCCAACGGCGAATGCGGGCCCAGGCACCCCAAGGGACGGACCGCCCCTCAGGCCCCTCAGCCACGGCGGACACCGCGCCAAGGGGGGCAGCATCTCTACCGCTGGGGCCCCTCAGAGGCGGAACCCGCTCCCCGCGTGAGGCAAAGGCGCAACGGCCATCCCAACTCCGTGAGGCCATCCATGCAGCTGGCACTCCCGCTGCCACGATCATGAGGCCATCCACGCAGCTGGCACTCTTGCTGCACGATCTAACCCCGCGCTCGGGGCTTCCGTCGGGGCCTGGGTTTCTGTGCCATGGCCTGGCACTTCTGGCACGGGCAGTCCCACACTTCGAACTTGATGCACTCGACCTCATCCGCGAGAGCAGCGAGGCGCCTCGCGAAGGGCTGGCCGCTACGTGGCGCCTTCTGCTCCTTTGCGGCGGCGGCGGTGATCCAGGCAGCCGGCAACGCTCTGTCCCGCACGCGCCGGCGGGGGACCACCACGCAGCCGCCCTCCAGCAAGTCGAAGATCCGCTCCTGGGAGCCCACCTCCGCCGTAATGCGCGCGCCGATGATCAATCGGCCGTCGAAGTCCACTTCGAAGGAGACGTCCACATGCCGAAGACCGATCCGCGCGAAGGAGGCCCCGTGCTGCTTGACGGCTGCCCCATGCTGCTGTCCGTGCCTTGGGAGGCGCCCTGGTCCTCATCCTTTGCCACGTCCAGGCCCATCATGGTGGCGTGCACGGGCATGGAACTGCTCATGTCCAGCGCCTGCAGCGTCACGACGTTCTTCTGCGCCTGGCACTCCGCCACGGCGTCGTGCAGCTGCTCCCTGAGCCTGTCGCACTGGCTCTTCACCGACTCCAGCTCGTCCAGCTGCACCGCCAGCTGGTGAAGATAGCCGTCCTCAGTCCGCGCGAGCGCGCTGAGGTAGTCCGCCTGGTCCGCCTCCAGCTGCTTCTCGAGCTCGAGCCGCGCGTCGGTGAGGCGCCGCACCTCGTGCACCATCTGCTCGACGAAGGTGGCCTAAGCTTCCAAGCCCGCCGCGGCGTCCCGCTGCAGGGAGACGCGGACTTGCATCCCCTCGCGGTCCGCCACAGCCATGCGCACCTGCTCGATGAGCGTGTCGCGCTGGGCCGTCGGCTGCTGCACCTGGTCGCTCTGCTCCTTGCCCAGCTCCCGAATGACCTGGCCCTGGCTGGCGCCGCAGGGGGCGCCGAAGGGGCCCGCGCCCAGCCGAGGGCCGCTCCGCCGCAGAGATGGCGGCGTCGCAGGCCTGCGCGAAGCCCGCCCTGGGCGCCACCGCAGCATGCCAGGCCGCATTCCTGCGACGCCTGGCGCTGCCTGGCACCCGCGCGCCTGCCGATGCGAGTCGCAAGGCAGGACGGGCTGCACGCTCGCGGTCCTGCCAGGACCCCGGCACGCCGGCCTCGGCGATCCACCGCCGCAACCCAGCCTCACAGGCCAGCTGGCGCCGTCGCCTCGCGGCCCTCCGTGCCGCCGACGGGCCGATGGTCTGGCTCTCCAGAGCCCGCCTGCTGCTGGGCCGCCCCTGGGCGGGCGGCCCCCCGAGCCTCCCCTTGCCGTTGTCGCGCGTCGCCGCCATCGCAGGGGCCGCGACACGGGGAGCAGGACAGAGCCGCTCTCTCCTACGAGGAGGAGAGGCACGGCGCGCGCCTGCCCACCCTGGCACCACGGCTGGCATGAGCCAAAATGGCTACGGGTGTGTGTGTGTGGGTGTGTGTGTGTGGGTGTGTGTGTGGGTGTGTGTGTGGGTGCGTGTGGGTGCGTGTGTGTGCGTGTGTGTGCGTGCGTGTGCGTGTGTGTGCGTGTGTGTGTGCGTGTGTGTGTGCGTGTGTGTGCGTGTGTGTGCGTGTGTGTCTGTGTGTGTGCGTGTGTGTGTGCGTGTGCGCGCGTGTGCGCGCGTGCGCGCGCGTATGCGCGCGTGCGCGCGCGTGTGCGCGTGCGCGCGCGTGTTCCAGCGTGTGTGTGCGTGTGTGTGTGTAGCGTGTGCGCGCGTGCGCGCGTGCGCGCGCGTGCGCGCGTGTGCGCGCGTGTTCCAGCGTGTGCGTGCGTGCGCGTGTGCGTGTGCGCGTTGCACGTGTGGCGCGTGTGCGCGTGTGCGCGTGTGCGCGTGTGCGCGTGTGCGCGCGCGTGCGCGCGTGCGCGTGTGCGCGTGTGCGCGTGTGCGCGTGTGCGCGTGCGCGCGTGCGCGCGTGCGGGCGTGCGGGCGTGCGCGCGTGCGCGCGTGTGCGCGTGCGCGCGTGCGCGCGTGCGCGCGTGCGCGCGTGCACGCGTGCACGCGTGCACGCGTGCGTGCGTGAGTGCGTGTGTGCGTGTGCGCGTGTGCACGTGTGTGCGTGTGCGCGTGTGCGCGTGTGCGCGTGTGCGCGTGTGCGTGTGTGCGTGTGTGCGCGTGTGCGCGTGTGCGCGTGTGCGCGTGTGCGCGTGTGCGCGTGAGCGTGTGTACGTGTGCGTGTGCGTGTGCGTGTGCGTGTGCGTGTGCGCGTGCGTGCGTGTGTGTGTGTGTGTGTGTGTCTGTGTGTGTGTGTCTGTGTGTGTGTCTGTGTGTGTGTGTCTGAGTGTGTGTGTCTGTGTGTGTCTGTGTGTGTGTCTGTGTGTGTGTCTGTGTGTGTTGGTGCGTGTGTGCTGGTGTGTGTGTGTGCCTGTGTCTGTATGTGCGTGTCTGTGTGCGCGTGTCTCTGTGTGTGCGGGCGTGTGTGTTTCCCAGCGAGGCCAGCGACAGAGAATCTGCGCCATCTTGGATCGATCATCTGGAGAAGAAGAAACACGCCCACAGGGTTTCCGCGGGAGCGCGCGGGGACGCGTTGTTGCCTCGTTGTGTCTTTCTGGAGGGGTCTGGTAGTAAATCATGGGAGTTGTGCATGTCTTCGTATCTCTGTCTCTAGAATGCATGAGCGTGCGCCAGCGTCTGGCAATCGATGAGAAGGTGCCGATCTAGCGTCGACGATTAGCGTTGGCCAGCATCGAGTTAGCGTCGATTAGAGTTTACAGTCGAATCGCAAGTGGGGTTGTCCTCGATTGTCCTGGATCATCCGTGGAGCGATTATCGTTCGAGTGCGGTCCAGCTTGGTATCCTCTTGAAGCGGTCTTGGATCCTTGGAGGGGTTCAGGACAACCAGATCGGATCGTTCGACGTGGTGATTTCGGCCGGATGTCAGACGGCAAGTGTTTTGTGCGTTCGACCTAGTCACGTTGAATCCCAAAGTTTGATCCAGTCATTTAGGGCCAGCCAGCCGTAGAGAGTTGAGTTATCCAGCTGACCCGCGTGGCCAAACATGTGTAGATGTGTATAGATAGATGCATCTCATAATTAGTATCTAGTGCGCCGTTGGTCTCTTTGGCCCAGCAGCTTTGGCTCAGAACGCATTCCGACCCCATCACCCACTGTCGTTGGGCATCGGGGACTCCGAAGTACGGGGCATTCGCAGGCTGTCCGATCCGATGAATTATGCCTTCCATCCTGGATGAGACCCGGCGGAGTATCCGAGCGCCAGTCCCAAAGATTCGTTTATGGTGGCAAGCACATCCCAGCGCAAGGTATCTGATTGGGGGCTGCCAGCGCGGCCAGCAGAGGCTTCGACCGCGCGACGCGCGGCAACGTCTTGGGCCTATTGTGGGCTCATCTCCCAAACGTGCGCCGACAGCCAACGAGGCGGTCGCCGCACATGCGAGAGCTGCTTTGGCATTCTTAGGGTGCCCCTGCATCTTCACCTTCTGCGCCCATCGTTGGCCGATTTCGTTGGCCAGACCGGAACGGTCCCCCTGCGGCAGGTCTGCCGTTTGGACGCACGAGGGTTGCGGCGAATGGGCAAAGAATACCGATTGCAGCACAGTGGGATCTCGGTTGAAAAATCACGGTTTGAAACATTTCAGTACCGCACGAGTGTTCGCACTAGGTTGCCAGTGATCGGCCTCGCGGGCACCAAGCAGGCTTCGTGTCGCTTGGGTTCTCCTCCTCCCCCTCCTGCCCTTCTCTCCCTCTTCTCTCCCGCCCCAGTTCATGCTTGCATTCTGCCTCTGTGCACACCAACGCTTGGAAGTGCCCATCCTTGGTCGCACCATTGCCAGGGTGGATTTCGACTCCTTGCCTGTCGACGGCTACACTGCGTTCCAGCACATGCAGGATCTCCCACCGCCAGAGGGCAAGCTGCTTCATGCCAATGGTTGGCTTTGATCGTTCCGAAGGCATTGGAGTTCAGCTCTGGCAGTGAGAGTTGTCCAATCGTGCGTTGCTATACCTCCACCATTTTTGGTAGCAGTAGGAGGGAGGAGGAGGAGGAGGAGGAGGAGGAGGAAGAGGAGAAGGAGGGGAGGAGGAGGAGGAGGAGGAGGAGGAGGAGGAGGAGGAGGAGGAGGAGGAGGAGGGAGGAGGAGGAGGAGGAGGAGGAGGACGGAGGAGGAGGAGGAGGACGGAGGAGGAGGAGGAGGGAGGAGGGAGGAGGAGTGGGCAGTGTTGGTGGCCACCTCTGAATGCGCTGAGCGAGTTGCAATTGTGACGACTCCGTAAGCGTGATGTTCACGAGCAGGCTGGCAATGGAGTGACATTTGTCGCGCAGAGCCCTTTGCACGTGATGCACGCATGCGGTGATATATCTGCCGCCGCCAGCAGAAACAACTTCACATAACGTGTACATGTGGATTAGTCGACCGTTGAGAGTCTTATCTTCCGAGCCTCGGATCTCAATCCACTCAGCGCCTTCCTACTCAGAAGCTCGAGGGGCTTCATGTGTCATTCCTTTCCCAGGGGTGGTCCAGGCCCGATGTGCATTCACGCGCCGCTGTGCCTCGTGATGTAGTCCGCATCTCCCGACCAGCGCGTCTCCGTACGCGTGTACACGTGTGCGTACATCCATCACCGGAGTCTTCCCCTCCAAGGGCAGATTCGCATCGTGTCCGCGTGGCGGCGCCCGCGCGGCCAAGCCGGCGATCGAAAAGCTGCCGATCGTTCGAGGTTGAGCCATCCACGCGGAATCAGAGACGAACGTCGGGGTCGTCACGGCACGAACGTGCCATGCGCTTCTTCCATTTTCCCTGTTATGTTTCCTCATCGCATCCTTCTCTCTTGTTTCTCCCCTTCCCTGGTCTGCTCGCTCCCTCATCCCCCCTCCTCATCCTCCTCATCCTCCTCCGTTCCCTCCTCCTCTCGCCTCATCCTCCTCTCATCCTCTCCTCCTCCCCCTATTCCTTCCATTACCTCTCCTTCTGCTCGCTCGGAACGGCAACGACGACGAGGAGTTCGATCGGCGCACACCGACGAAGCTATGTTCACCAACCTCCGCTTTTCAGACGACGTCTTGATGGTGAGCCAGACACTATCCAATCTGATCACCTTCCTGACATATTTGATCACAGCAGCGAAACCCCACGGTCTCGGTCTCGAAGCGCACACCCGACCAAGACGAGAATTGTGACAAACCAGCCCCGGATTCGAACGCGCAAGGCGAAAGTTGAAAATTTGTACGTCAAAAACATCCCACATATTGGCAAGCTGACATGCGTCGGCCAAACGAATACGGTCCAAGACGCTTCGGCGACAGAGATCCACTATCGCATACTGGGCATGGTTCACAGAGCACATGCAATAATTAAAGAGTAAACACCACCTTCTGAAGCACAGGCTGCGACTCTACCTGTGCACGGTCATGACCGCCATGATTTACGGCGCAGAGACGAGGGTTTGAACGGAGCCTCTCAAACAGCAGCTACGCCGCGCACAGCGACGGATGATCAGTGCGATCATCGGAACGTCTGGAAGGCGCACGATGATTTCCCGGTCAACGCATCCCGCCCACGACCACAACCCCGGCAACGACCACACCGACGATTCCAGCGATTACGATGCGTCCAGCAACCCGAGGGAAGGCGCAAGCGACGCACCTCGCCACGCTTACGCGCAGAAGGACGGACGGCAACGAGTTGCGTCTGACTTCGTCAGCAGAAGCATGCGCAGAGCCGAGGAGTTAATGAACGTGCAAGGCATCCCTGACGTAGAACGTAGAGCCGATACACCGAACAAAGGTTTTTTTTGAATTGCGCGCGCAGCAAGCCATCCACCGAACCGATGGACGTACAGCGCAATGAATTGTAGCCCTTCTTTCGACATGAAACAGCAGCATCGTCGGAAACACGGCGGCCAATGATGACGAGGACGTACGAAAGTTCAACGACGTGCGAAAGTGTTTCCAGAGTTTCCATCAGACCATTGGCGACGAAGCCACACAGAGCAACATCAAGCAAGCGAGTCGTCCACAGCTATACCTACACTAAGACAGCAACGATGTAAGATGGTCGACGGCCGCGACGGACAGGATGTGGTGTGACTCGCTTGAAATCAGTTCCCCCGCGTATGCCAACTGATTGCGCTAATTCCCCACCAACAGCAGCAAACAAGCATAAAACAGTAGCACCGACAGCACCAGCACAAAGCATCGACCACCCACCAACAGCAGCATCAAAACATCAACAGCACCGACTCAGCCCTGACCGCCAACACCGACCAATAGCACCACAAACACCAAGCACGTTTGACCACCACTGGCCAACAGCATCGACCACCACAGACCAACACCGACCACCAGCACAAAACAAAGACTTCTAACACTGACCACAGCACAAGCACCGACCACCAGCACTGACCACCAGCAGGCAGCACCGACCACAAGCACACTCTTGAATGTCATGTTCCTCTTTGTTGACTCTGGCCGTGCACTATTTCACCCACGCCTTCTACTTGTCCCGTTCCGCGCACTGTGTCGCACATCCTTCTATTTGCGCCAGTTTGTTTATTGTTCGACCCACACATTCAACACCCAAACGATCTGAGGCTACGGCCTCCTGCGCCCTGGTCACAAGGGCGCGGGTGCTTCGGTGCCTGGCACAGGCGCCGCTCCGCATCGTTCCTTTTCTGCCCGCTCCCCACAAAACCCCGACGTTCCTGGCCCACCGCCCGAGGCACTTGGAGGCCAGGGCCAGGGTTCGGGCCTGTCCCCCCACAGGGGGATTTTCGATGAAAAAAATACCCCCAAAAGACCCCAAAAAGGTAAAGAAATATTCAACAAATAGTCCCCAGGCTATTTTTGGACCATTTTTGGATTATGTTTGGAGTATTTTTTATTGTTCGTCGGAAATCCCCCTGTAGGGGGACAGGCCCGACTTAAGGCCAGGGATGGGGTGGCCGCTTAGGCGCCGCGCAGTGGGGGTCACCGAGCGCGTTCCACTACTCGCATAGTGCCTACTCGCGAACGTCCAAAACAACATGTGTTTGCGAGTAGTTACTTTGCGAGTTGTGGAGCGCGCTCGTCTAGGGGGGGCCGATAAAAAAGAAGGGAGCAGCGAGGGCTGCAGAACAGGGGCCCGCCAGGGCTCCCCAAAAGGGCGCTTGTCGGACCCGGAAGGGGGCCTGCAGGCGCCAAGGCCGGCGCCGCCCACTGCCGCACCCCCCGCGGGGCTTCCGCTTCGAGCCCCAGTTTTCTCGACGAGCGGCTTGTGGTCTCGACGTTCGGTGTTCGGGACGCTTTCCAGCCGGTGCGCCTCGTCGAGAGTTGTCTGGTGTTGCCCCAATCTTCCCGATCGGCTTTGCGAGGCCGGAATTACGACCCGGAAACCACCAGGCGTCTTAGAGAGCGGAGAGGATTAGGGGAACATCAGGGTCCAGGCCACAAGATGTACCAGGTTTCGTGGCCCTCTCGTAAGATTTATATGCGTACTGACAAGTCTTCATATGGCTGTTATTTGTCGGAGTATAATTGTTGTTATGATTGTTTCCGCTCGTTCGCGCACATGGTGCGCCCCCACCTCTTCCTGCCCCTCCCCTTTACGGCGCAGCCGACATTGCTCCACCTAGTTCGGCACGCGGTGTTTGCCAGCACGCTCCAGAACGTCCCCATTGGTTCTACGAGAAGAGAGCCTCCGCAATTTTCGCCGACGACGTCCCGGGAGCCCACGCTCAGTCCTCTGGACGCCCGCATCCGCCTGCCGTCAAAGTCTCCACGGCGTGAGCTTCGTTCGCCCCTGCCGTTCCCCGTGCCCCCTTCGAGCGAGGAGTATTGAGCAGCCTGCGCCGATGACGCCTCCAGGGCGTAGGCCTGGCCCTCCGGGCGCCTGCATCCGCCTTCCCCTGAGCGGCCAAGGCGCAAGCTCGGCGGCGCTCATTGTCGTCCGGGCCGCGGCTCGCCTGGGAAGAATGGGGGAGGCAGGGGAAAGAAAGGCGATTACGAAAGCTGACACGTGCAGGCGGTGTCGGCCTCGCCGCATGGCGCTTTCCTCACTGCTCTGTCGCC